CAGTAGTGACCGTTGTAGGACCTTAATGTTTCTTTGTCGCCCATGTCGATGGAGAGTAACTGATCAATCTCCACTGGCGTCTTGGTGTTTGTTCTGAATCTTGTCACGAACACCTCCGCTAATTGCGCCCAAGAGGCTATGCTGCCTTCTGGTAGCCTTTCAAACCAGGTTAAACCTAGGTCGCCAAGGCTAGATGGGAATAGGATGCACATCAAAGCTTTGTTCCGCCGGTATACTGCCATAACCTGGTGAAAGTGGCTTAGGTGCATGTAACGGCCTGTCTTTCCTTCGTACGTGGTAAATTTAGGCTGGATGAAACTTGAGGGTAATGGTGCGTTCTCAATCGCCGGAACGAACGGCGAGCTATGTAGTCTTGCCAACGCTTTATCTGTTGGTTCGTAGGCAAGGTGCAGTATTGGCATTCCAACCTCAACGCTTCCATGCGTCCGAGGAGCCAACCGCTGAAGGACTGAAACTCTGTGTGGGTCGCGTGCCCTGGTATCCTCCTTCTGTCGCGCCCTTTCTTCAAGCACAGTCCATAAGTCGGACGATCTAGGCAACTCCGTTTGCCTGGATGATGTCTGGTGCATGTGTGAGGGCCGATAGGTACTTCCCTCAGTGTAAGACCTCAATGATCTCGTTCTCTCAGACCTGGAGTAACGAGTTCTGGAAGTCCTTGATTGAGTGTCGTCTGTCCTGAGGCTTCTACTCTCTGCTTGCGATGGCGTGATATGCCTACCACGATCTTCAGAGTGGCGAGGAGGCGTATTGCCTTTGCGCCCCTCTCCCGTCGCCACCTCTTTTCCCTTTGTAACGCCCTCAAAATAACCCATTATATTTATATCATTGACATGCATTCTTTAAAGAAATCAATTTATTAATTCATTCATCAGAGTATTACTAAATAAAAGCATTACATGTAACATCGAATAAAATGCTCTACAGGCTTACATCTTTCCAAGCCAACACTTAGATACAAAAATATGAGTCCTAACTCAATATAAGAAAAGCCCTAGGCTTGAATGTTTACATGTACAAATAAATAAAGACAATTAACTAAAGATAGTTTTCTTCAAAATCCAGAAGCCAAACCCTCCCAAGCTAAGTCCTTGGAGGTAGCTTATCACCTGAACCTGAAAATGATGTTCCCATAAAGGGTGAGCCACAGCCCAGTAGAAATATACTAAACCACATACAAGCAATGAATAAAGCAATAGCATTCAACAGATGGTTAACCAAGATAATCAATTACTTCATTTTTACAGTCTCATGACACTATTGTCTAAGATACGTTTTACTTTCCAATTTTATCAACATGGCTCAGAACCTGGCCAAACTTACAACAGTGAATTACATATATCATATTCGCATCCTTCCAATATCAACATACAAATGAGACTCAAGCTCAATCAAAACACTTCATACTTCCAGATTGATACACATTTTAGTGCTGTATCGGCAATACCTCTTCATATGCCCTGGCTAACCACACTGATAACGCGAGAGTGGCTGGCCTCTACCCTGACTCTGGCTCTGAGATCAAGCCGAAGATGATGCTGCTCTCTGCACTCCTCCCCTCTGAGGACAAACTGGAGACTTGTGGCCCAGCTGGCCACACTTGAAAAAGGTAATGTTTCCCTGACTGCCTTTCCCCGAACTAGCACTCGGCACAGGAAAAATCCATATTGTTTAAATCTCCACAGTTAAATATTCATAATTCTTCAAGCTAAATATAAAGTTCCTTACTATAGATACAACCTCTATCAACATCAAAAGTATTTCACAAAAGCCTAAATATATACATTGACAAGTCTCTTCCTCCAAAAACAATGTTTAACCATCCACCTCCAGAAAGCCATATCCAAATCAAAGATGCATATAACAAACTACACAAAGAGATATTAGAATCTTAACTGGGACAATTGACGGCTCTTTGCTTCTTTGGGGGGCCAATTCCTAATAACACCCAAATTTAAGTGTCATGTGTAATAGAACTATAAACAAAATTTGAAGCTTAGAAGGGGCCCTAACCTCCCTTCGCCACCCCTTCGGTCCACCACGATACATACATATGTGTTAAGAAAGTTAATAGACATACATTTTCAAGTTATATGTACATAAAATCTATAAAGCAATCAAGATTCTCTACTCGTCTTTAATTGAGTTAGCCATAGTGTTGCTTTAATTACTATGGGTTTTGTGGTTGTCCCAATCTGTTTATGAACATTTTTTGCTTACTTTTGGGAGCTTAGTATGATATGTTTCGTGTGTACAAAAATTCTTATGGTTGATGTTTTGGTAAATATAACCTCGCCAGGTTGTTTATTGTTTAAAATATAGTAGCAAATTGCCTCTTTTTTTTTTGCATTTTTTTTTTCTCAAATTTTTGAAAATTGTCAATGAGGATAAGTTGAGAAAATAAGGGACAACAACAACAATTATACAATGACAGAATCTACGGAACCTAAGTCCGGATACAATAATCAAATGGGAAAAGACCGGGGTCGCTATACCCTTGATCTGGCGCTTCATGGTCTCCATGTCCGCCGCCATCTTCCTTATCAGTTCATCTTGCTCTTTTACGCAATCCTCCAAAGCTTGAGGGTCGATTCTTCGCCTTTGCCTTTTAGGACTTTGTGAGCGAGAGTGACAGGGGCTGTTGATCCGCCTCCCCCTTGTATCCCTCCGGGGATTCTGTCGCTAGGGCTCTAAGTCTGCCATAGGAGGGATAGAGGGCAATCCTTCGCGCCTCTCACCCCCCTCTGGGGTTTTTCCGTCAATGGCGGACTGCGGCAAATCTTCGTTGTGCGCCATTCAATGAGGGAAACTTGATCAAGAGGTTTTGTTCTTTGTCTGATATTCCCACAGACGGCGCCAATTGTACGGGAAAGAAATAAACCTTCTCGTATAATCCTGTTGATCAAGATTGCGCTCCTCCGTACGTCGTCACTTTACTCCCTGAAAGCACAAACGTGAGCTAGCCGGCGGGTGTGTGCCGGATACCTCTCCGATGCCTAAGTCAGCAAAATAGACAAATAGACAAAAAGCTCTGTGAATTCGGGAATCAAAGTTGTGTTACCTCTCCATTGGTGATGCTGTGAGCTTTTATAGGTTTCGTGTGGCACAATCCTAGTAGGACTCTTACTCCTCTCTGTAGAATCCTCCTAGGAGTCACATTCCTGAAAGACAATGCTTATCCTTCAACACCCCCCTCACTACTTAAACCAAGTGAGATGGTTTTACCATGGTCGGATCCCAATATAACCAAGGTAAGCATGGCTATGCTGAGCCGCAGAGTAGACCGAACTAAAGCCAGTTCAGTTTATTGAATTCACTACTCTTACCTCGGCTTCTCCTCTACAAACCATGGTGTGTTTGGACCGAGCTAAGAAATAGCAAGGTTTTGACCGAGCTAACCGCAACATGCCACGACCGGGCTAATTCTGAGTGTAGTGACCGAGCTATCCACAAATCTCTCCCAGACCGGGATAACAATAAGCCTCTCTGGACCGGGATAACAATAGGGCTTTCTGGGCAGGGCTAACTTCAAGCCCCTTTCATCCAGCTCTTCTTACCGTGCCCAATGAACGGCCCATTACCTAGCTCGGCCCAATTCACATATAAATTACCCTCTCATATACACAATTATTCTGTGCAGGACTTGGTCTCTAAGCTGAGTCAGATCAGGTACTATGAGAGTGGCAGAGGTTTGGGCACCATCTAAGATTTTTGAGGGCCTGTTTGTTTTATTCTTTGATGTAGTAGGGTGTTGAGTGGCTGTGTTTACCATTGTTCAAATTTGCACCATCTCTGGATGACTATGAATCCACACTGAACCTACAGTAGCAAAGAATACAAATACCAATTGCACAAAACCCACCGTCACAATTTAAAAAAAAAAAAAATAAATAAAAAATCAACATGCATTCAATTTTGAAACTGCACTAACCCATGACTTCTATTTTGTCCTCTTTAGCAGGTATAGCCATTCGGATTGGTAAGGTCCCTGATGTGGTGAAGCGGTTGGAAAACACCCAAGCTTGTATGGACAAAAGGCAGGTCTAGATGCTCGAGGAACTAAAATCTGTGTAAGTGACATTGCATGAATTGACAAAAAAAATGTAGATACCCCTCATGAGGATGGAGGACAAGGTGAGGATGAGGAACATGAAGAAGAGTTGGGAAAAGATGATGATGAGAGAGATGAAGAAGTGTTGAGAACAGAAGATGTTGAAGACAGAGATGAAATTTCTAAGGAGCCTTGACCTTGGCCTTTTCATTGTTTTTCTATGCTTAGACTAAACTAATAGTTGAATATGTTATGGGTTTTGTGGTTGTCCCAATCTGTTTATGAACACTTTTTGCTTACTTTTGGGAGCTTAGTATGATATGTTTCGTGTATACAAAAATTCTTATGGTTGATGTTTTGGTAAATATAACCTCGCTAGGTTGTTTATTGTTTAAAATATAGTAGCAAATTGCCTCTTTTTTTTTGCATTTTTTTTTTCTCAAATTTTTGAAAATTGTCAATGAGGATAAGTTGCTTTGATGTTTAAAATATGATGTATTGTGCTTGATGTATTAAATAGTACTTTATGAGGAGATTGTAAATGGTACAGTTTGTTAACTTCAAACCTTGTTATCATATTCATTTCTAATTTGAAAGCCCACGGCCTGACTAAACACTCAAGATTTTGGCTTTTGGCTTTTGGCTTTTATTTGGATTATGGCCGAGGGATTGGCCAATTGATTTCTATCAAGGCAGTGCATTTTCCAATCGATTTGAAAATTGATTGGGGACCCATTAGTCAATCAATTCTTGTAAGAAAGTGGAAACACCAATCAATTGGCCAATCCATTTTGGAGCCCATGGCCATGACAAACAGGAAAAAAAAATAATGCCAAAGTTTGGCATCCTTGTATAATTTGCTTGAATATTGTTTACAATTGATTCATAGTGAATCTATTAGACACTAGGCATGTTACAATCTCACAACCGATTGGAGTAAATTTGTATTGTTTAAACTTGGCTGGCAATGGTACACAATCAATTGCTCTGTACTCTTGCAATATGAATGCATTTTGTGCCGAATAGTTTGGCATCCAAAATCAAATTTACAACCTTACGCATCAATAATCTACACATACATGGATTACCAAAATCAAATTTACATCCACATAACATCCTCCATAAAGAAGCCATCCAAATTACATCACGTCTATAAAAAATATAAAAAAATGGTCACTAGTCACTTTTGGTGAAGGGGCTAATCATCCATGTCCATTTGTTGGCCTTAAATCATCGTCGGAACCTTCACTTCCATCAAATTTCTCCTCACTATAGGAACATGAAATGGCCCCATCCACATATAAATCATCAAAAGTATATGCTTCATTATGAAGGTTAACATTAGGAAGGCAAGGATATTGTTTTCGTGAAATATCTAAGATTTTTGAGATATTATACATGCTCTCATTAGAAACTAGACACATTTTTTTGTTCTTGTTAGAAACTGGATCTTTATACCACATTCAGTGCTAATCAACATGCTGAGCTAACTAACCACACTGAAGTATTCATAACAAAAAGGAACATCGATACAATTTTTTTTTTATCCAAGTCTACAAGTTTAAAAAAAGAAGAAGCAACAGTATAAAATATCAGATTCCAGTAACTATTAAAGTAGCAATGAAATAAATTTAAAACTAAAAGCAAGAATAAAGAGATTCTTACCATGTGAAAAGAGTCGGCTGATACGAAAGAACATGTGGGAAAGAACAAAAGCACCACAAGAGTCTTTCAAAATATGAAAACTGTAAGTGAGAGGAACTGCCATTAAAGCACCTTACATAACCAAATAAAAAAATAATTCAAAAGCATGTAATTTCTCAAGGGCCAAGTGAAGATGAACAAAGACACAAACCCAATTAAATCTTTACAGTTAAATATTCATAATTCTTCAAGCTAAAATAAAGTTACTTGCTATAGATACAACCTCTATCAATATCAAAAGTATTTCACAAAAGCCTAAATATATACATTGACAAGTCTCTTCCTCCAAAAACAATGTTTAACCATCCACCTCTAGAAAGCCATATCCAAATCAAAGACGCATATAACAAACTACACAAAGAGATATTAGAATCTTAACTGGGACAATTGACGGCTCTTTGCTTCTTTGGGGGCCAATTCCTAATAACACCCAAATTTAAGTGTCATGTGTAATAGAACTATAAACAAAATTTGAAGCTTAGAAGGGGCCCTAACCTCCCTTCGCCACCCCTTCGGTCCACCACGATACATACATATGTGTTAAGAAAGTTAATAGACATACATTTTCAAGTTATATGTACATAAAATCTATAAAGCAATCAAGATTCTCTACTCGTCTTTAATTGAGTTAGCCATAGTGTTGCTTTAATTAAGTTAGCCATGGTGTTGCTTTAATTGAGTTAGCCATGGTGTTGCTTTGTTTTAATTGAGGGAGGGTGGAGTGTAGTTGATGGTTCTAGTGATGGAATGTATTGACAAGAGTACTTGCACAATTCCTTTTCACAGTTTTTCCAATGAAACTTTTGTATAAAGCACATGAAATGCACACAAGATAGTGTCATTAGGGAAATTTAGCATTCCAACAAAGTAATGTCATCAGGGAAAGATCCATAACAATAAGCTTGAATATATCACATTTATAAGATTGAATATATCAAGGCAAATACAAAAACATTAATCCAATTGATTTAATATATTGCATTATATAACAAAGATACCCGCTCATTGGCTAGAGGGAGAAACCAACAACTCATTGTCATCGATGTCATCACCGAAAGATTCCCTAACTCGTTGATGTCCACTAGAAGCATGAAGTATCTGCACAAATTGATATCATTTCTTGTTAAATATAAAATACATAGAAAAAATATAAGATATTAATCTGGATCACCTCTACTACATGTCTTAATGTAGACACTCATCTTGTTAGTGCTCACTGTTTACATAATGAGAGCAACATGCTTTCTTTTAAACATTGTAACTTGCAATTAGAATTGATAACACAAAATAATAATAATAATAATAATAATAATAATAATAATAATAATAATAATAATAATAATAATAATAATAATAATAGTAATAAAAATAAATACAGAAAAATGAACATTTGATGAAAATTACATTTCGTTAATTGGATTCATAATACAAAACAAAAAGTGGGACCACAACACATTCAACTATTCTTTCCTTTGAAATAAAATGCTTTGTTTTTTCCTAACAAATTCCTTCCTTTGAAAAGGGCTAATTTTCTCTATATTTAACGTGTATTACTCTTTGTCATGAAACACACATCATATTGATTCAACAATATTGGTATTAGTTTTATCTTTACATATTAGATTTTCCAATATTATAGACAATATCCATAATAGGTAACAAACTAAATTACAAAATAAAAAATAAGAATCATTTGTAAATAGTTCATCAACCACAACCTCCATTGAACAGTCTACAATACATAATCAAAAGGTTTTGGATCTGAAAATGAAATCTACTCCTCAAGCATTGCAGTTTTTTCCACGAGATTATTTCAGTTAATTCATTTATGTAGATGACATTCTTTCAATTTTCAATTAAAGCACAAAAAAGAAAAGAACTCATTTAAGGTTTTAAAATCCTGATTGTTCCCAACATTGTTAGGATTACAATCCACATATTTACAAAAATGTAATTTTAATATTATTCAATTACACAAGCATACCACAATCAAACTTCTGTGATAGGACTATAGAAATAACTAACCTTTAGGCCATTAGGAAGAATTACATGGTCCTCTGCATTAAATAACTAAAGGCTACAAACAATAACAAAAACATAAAAATTAGAACTTCAAATATAGCGATCCTGGTTTCCCTTTTCTTTACTTGTTATATATAGACTTAGGTTCCGTGGAGCTGGTTGTTGAGAGTATGTTGTTTGCACCCTTTAATCCTTATTTTGAGTCTTGGGTTGTGTTGGGAAGATTTGGAGCAGGTTGGTTGAGCTTAGGAACCAAGTCTAGTTGCCCAGATTTTGGCTTGTCCGCTCGAGCGGGGGTTTGGACGCTCGAGCGGGGAATACACCCATCCAGTATGTCCTGTGTAGTGTTGGCCGCTCGAGCGGGAGATTGGACGCTCGAGCGGGAAATTAGGATGTCAGGACGAGGACGAGGACGCGGTAGGCGTGGTAGGCCGGGTAGGCAGGAGA